CCTCAGTACCCTACCTCTACACATCTAAGAGCCCCAATACAAAACACATCCTTGTTCTGTCTGTGTTCACATTTCATCATCTGCCTCTTAAGAAACAACTTCAGGTTTAGTAGCAAAGGACATAAAAGTGGTATCTACTTTTAAGTCTATTTTTAGATATCTTATTGACTTAGGGCAAATTCCTGGACCTACTGAAGTCAGTGCCACTGACTTCAAATGAGGCCAGTATTTCACAGTTCAATTTTATCTCCCCAATGCATGTAACAGAGGTGACTAACATACTAAGTCCTGAAGCACTGTTCAGCCTTGTTAATTAGTTAGGAGGGACCAAAATAAGACTGAAATGCAATCTCTCTGAAGTGCAAGGTGTCAGTTGCTGTCAGGGTCAGTGACTGCAAAGCTACAGATGAAAACAAGCGCCCAATCTTTTTCTTTGCTTCAATTTATTTTCATCTCCCCCTGACCTCATAAGAGAATGCTAAGGTATAATACATCACTTCAAATCACTCCATGAAAGACTTTGTGGGAAATTGGTGAAGAACAGTAGGTAGAAAAATGCTGATTTCTATGTGCCTGCATCACACTGTAGGGAGGCCTGGGGTTTTAAAAACACCCTTCCTTCAGCACAATGATACTGGAATGATATAAATTCAGAGCTTGGAAAGCAATTTAAATAGCATATAGTTGTAGAATATCTGTGCTGGGAATCTCTTCTAGCAGGAGGTAAGAGATCAATTCCCCACTGAGCACAGAGTATAGGATGCATTCTTTTAGCTTTGCTTCTTTTAGCTGCTGAAATACAAGTCTACATAAGCAGCAACTGCTTTCTACCCATCACCATTTATCATCTTATTTACATAACCTATTAGCAAGTGGCAACCATACAACAAACTTGTTCCTAAAAAGGTGCCCTCAAAAAGAAAGTCAGCAAGCTGAGGCAGCTCACCTGTGCTGAAGCCCGTTTTGCTTCTTGCCCACCTTTGCTCAGGAATCTCAAGACCCATTACAGTGTACACAGCAAGAGCCCCCAAACCTAGGGTTTGCTCCAGGAGCTTTGACCTAAACTTTCCGAAACAGCTGGTGATTTCTGGATTCACAAGCTGAAGGATCTTAAAGAGACCTGCCTTGCAAAAAGTACTGAACACCTACCCTCTGAAGAGCAGGCTCCTCTTTAAGGGGCCTCTGAGGCCGGGGCCTCCAAAAACAGAGGCACGCAAAATCACCTGGCACTTTTTTAGATGTACAATCACCTGACAAATAAGAGCTTCTGCCAGGACTGCACTAATAATGCTGAACGTTCGCATCTGCTTTTACAAGTAGTTTATGTTTTAAATATGAATGAAACATACCGCTCCTCTGGAGTCTCCACATGAAATGTTCTTTCAATTACTGTGGTCCACTGGAGGCATCTAATGATGAATGTGTTTGGTTTAGGTCGTTCTGTCTTCATCAGCTGGCATTCTACCACAATCAAGGAAAAAAGAGTCATGGTATATAAGCAGGTTTAAATAATCATTTGTCTTTATTCTTATCTAGCAAACTGTTGAGATTAATCAGCCATAGAAATCTCTGTAAGTACTTCTTCTGGAGACACGAGACAATTTAGTATGTTGATGAAACTAAAGCACAGCTTAAGTGACTAAGTTCTGTTTAAAAAGCCTTCTGAGGTGGCCAGCCCAGAGGTCTAACAGATACACACAGTGTGAAAACAGAAAAGATCCATATTCAGGTCTCACACCCCCCAAACCACCTGTAGAAGAGCCCACAGTACTACAGGCAGCTCTGGATAGGGCCAATGACTGCATCCACTGACAGTAATGGCAAAGCTCCCATTGATTTTAATGATAAAAAGATCAAGCTCTTAACTTTTAAGATGACGGTAGAGTGCATGTTTGTACTGACCATTCTTCAGAGACCTCTCTGGACACTGAAATATAGACAGTCTTCCAAAAAGATGGTGCTCATTATATGGATCAAACTGTAGTCAGGCACCCCCAAAAAAGACTTTCAACGCTTCATAAACACAGAAGGCAGCTGATGTGCAAACACCCCTATACAACACTGTGATGAAAGCTTGTACCGCTGCAGACATTGCAATGCAGGCTAACAAGTCCACGAAGGATGGATCATTTCATCACAGAGTAGCCTCCTTGTCCCATCATTCTCACCTCTTCCCCACCCCAACCCTCTCCAACACACCCACTCCAAATTCTCTTGTAGGAATTGATTTTTTTAAAAACAGCATGTTGACTATTTATTAAATACTAGCCAACTGCCCATCAAGAATGACCAGAACGGTGGGGTGAGGACGGAGCACCGCCACCCAATGCCCTGCAGTGCTGCCTCTGTCTCTGGGCCTCGAACAGGTCCCCATTAAGAGCAGACTGGCTATTGTAAACTGGACAGACTCAAAGACATTCAGTGAGGTACTAAACCTACACTATAAACGCCACTTTTTTTGTACCTGGTTTTCTAAACTTCTTTTAGCAAAGCTCAAATGCTAACAGCGTTCCTCCCATTAATGAAAACCCCAAGCAACTACCCAATGTGAAAGAAAAACAATAGATCCAAACATAATCAAGTTTCTTTTAACCTGGCTACTTTTGTGTTAACAGTGTATAGAGGGGACAGTGTGGACAAACTCGTAGACCCTGTGGACCAAGGGATGCCCACAAATCCAGGGGACTGAGCTTGATGGCCAGAGAGACTCCTTCCAGTCCTACCTAATATCAAGTCTCTTATCCTGCAGTTTGTAAAACCACTGCTTCCATAGTACTGGGGTCTTAGCAGTCTAAATCCGCATGCACAATGAAAAGTGAGAAAAAAACCTTTACTTCCTACCAAAGCTTCAAACAAGTTCCACTTTCGTAGTGTGGATAAGGATTAACGACATAAAATTTCTGTCATTCCAGATGCATGCTGTTCTTAAGACTATGCATGCCAGCACTGTTAGATGAATGATATTACTGTGGAAATTCAGAATGCTTGATTTTAAATCCAAGCCTTTATTAGCACCAAGATAAAATATTTACTGCCAGTGTTTTTGGGTGCTGTATTTTTGGCAATATATTTCATGCCTCATTTGCTGCTGAAATTATAAGCTTTTCAATGAGTAACTTTGCATTTTTCATGACAAGAAAATCTAATTTTTCTTTAATAGCATGCTGAGGTTATGCTGCATTCTACAGAAGCACTGCAATTAGATAAGAGAAAGTTTATTAATGAGTCATGAAAAGGTTTTAGTGATAAACGGCACTTTCTTATTCACTAGGAAAACTAACCTTAAAAACCACCACAAAAAGATGCAGCTATGCTTTTACCATGCCAAACTCCTCCTGACTACAGTGTTCCAGCAGCTACAGTCATCATTCATGAACCTGTAGTTTCCGCAGCACCGTCAGAGCTGGCTTGGTCTCATAGATAGGGCTCTGGACTGTTATTCAAATAGGTTCTCCTACCAGCTCTGCCACTGACCTGCTGTAAAACCTGGCAGAAGTCACGTTACCTCTCCTGGTTGGCTTCTTCTCCCACTCCCTGGCGGTCTAGTCTAGTATGGTGGTATGCTCTTTCAAGGAAGGAGGGTTCTCCTATCTGTTCATGCAGTGCCAAGCACAACAGAGTCTGGATTTGGGCTGAGTCCCTTAAGCCCTACTGGTAACGACAAATAATACAGAAAGAACCCTTTCAAATGAGATTGAGCATTCTGATTTGCCTGCTATGCCAATCTTGAAACCCAACACTGTTTTTATATAAATTAAATGTTTTTACAGTGGTAAAGTATTTAGTCAACCACCTTCTGAACTGCTATTCAATATCTATGAATAAATATTTCCAAATAACAACATAGGCATTTCTTTGAATCCTCTGCCTAGGCTCACCTGAACATATATCATCCAATAACTTTCCTGGTTTGCAGTGGCAGGGCACAGGTGGCAGCCCTCTTTCCCCTGCTTTTTACCTGTGGCTTGCTGTCTGGATATAAGGTGTTTTGTGACTGTGGTAGGAAAGGGTCTGGAGTGGACACCTTTTAGGACACTTTAGATAAATGGTAGGCTCCACATGCAGGGGACTGATCTCAGTGTCCCACCCAGAAAAAAACATAACTATTTAATTTAAGGCTGACAAACAAAGCTTGGCTTTGGGATACAGAGAACAAGACCAATTAAAGTATCCCAGTATTTCTTTTACATCTGCGTTGTCCGTTGATATTTGTTAAGCTTGCTGATCCAGCAATCTTTAAAGCATTCTGCAAGATAAATAATAGAGATTTGTCAGTTAATAACCACTATAATTCAAGAATGTCACAGAGAAGTGTTTTGTTTAGTGAACAATATGCTGTCTAATTACCCTGCTCAATCATAACAGCACATATCAAGAAACGCAGAAGGCTTTATATTTTTAACTTGTTATTACTATAGTGTCTTATCACATAGGCTTAAAAAAAATTGAAGTTACCACAGAATTTCCCCTGACATAACTGAGTCTAGAGGACCCATTTTTATCAATGAACCAGGATATAGGAGTGTTTGTTGTTGTAGTCTGCAAGTTATCAAGGCACCTTATCTGACCCTTTCGTATGTATGCAGGTATAGCACCACAGAATCATAGAAAATTAGGGTTGGGAGGGACCTCAGGAGGTCATATAGTGTCTAGTCCAGCCCCCTGCTCATAGCAGGACCAGCCCCAACTAGATCATCCCAGCCAAGGCTTTGTCTAGTCAGGTCTTAAAAACCTCCAAGGATGGAGATTCCACCGCTTCTCCAGATAACCTGTTCCAGCACTTCACCACCCTCTTAGTGAGAAAGTTTCTCCTAAAATCCAACCTAAACCTCCCTTGCTGCAACTTGAGACCACTGCTCCTTGTCCTGTCATCTGCCACCACTGAGAGCAGTCCAGCTCCATCCACTTTGGAAGCACCCTTCAGGTGGCTAAAGGCTGCTATTAAATCCCCCCCTCAGTCTTCTCTTCTCAAGACTAAATAAACCTGGTTCTGTCAGCCTCTCTCATTAGTCACGTACCCCAGCCCCAAACCAATTTCCCTGCCCTCTGCTGGACTCTCTCCAACTTGCCCACATCCTTTCTATAGTGGGAGGCCCAAAACTGAACACACTACTACAGATGTGGATTCACCAGTGCAGAATAATCACTTCCCTCAATCTGCTGGCAATGCTCCTACCAATGCAGCCCAATATGTTGTTAGCCTGCTTGGCAACAAGGGCACACTGCTGACTCATATCCATCTTATTGTCCACTGTAACCCCTGGCTCCATTTCTGCAGAGCTGCTGCCCAGCCAGTCAGCCCCCAGCCTGTACCAGTGTATGGGACTGTTCTGCCCTAAACACAGGACTTTGTACTTTTCCTTATTGAACTTCATGAGATGTTCTTTGGTTTAATTTTCCAATTTGTCTAGGTCTCTCTGGTGTATAGTTGCATTGCCCTTTTCTCATTTTTCCAACTTTATACACTCCATTGTGCAACAGAGGAACACCCTGTTCAATATCTTCATTAACTAAAACCAGCCCCAGGACCGACCCCTGGGGCACTCTATTTGACACTGGACTACTAGGACTGTGCGAAGCTTCAGGTGCTGATTTGATTTGAAGGAGATTCAGCCCAATTCAGTGGCCAAATCTGCCAATCTGAATTGAATCGGGAAACCAATAAAAAGGTCCAAATTGATTTGAAGCTCTCCAAATTGATTTGGAAAAGATTCGGAGAGCTTTGAAGATTCAGGCAGTCCCCACTCACCACCACAGGGAGCTGGACCTGGACTCCATGCTGGTAAGTGGGGGGGGCATAGGGGAACCCCCGCCAGGCCCCACCCCCTGCCAACTCCCCCAG